AAAAAAAAAAAAAAAGAGAGAGAGAGAGAGAGAGAGAGAGAGAGAGAGAGAGAGAGAGAGTAATCATAGAAACAGCGGCCACACTGTTGTCGAACTGGAGGATCACACAACATCTGTATGACCAATCACCAGGTTACTGGGATACAGTCGAGAAAAACACTCGATATCTCAAATAGAGAGATAAACACTCGATATCTCAAATCGAGAGATAAACACTCGATATCTTAAACTTTAAGCACAGATCAAACAGTTCTCCGACTTGTTTGGCTATGGGTGTAAATTCCATAGCTCTTCAGAGAGATTTCCCTTACCAAGCCAAGTCCGCTTGGAGAGAGAGGGTTACGACCTTCCTTCCCTCCTCCTTAAATACTAACACCTCCTTCTCTCATCACAGCACTGTTCAGCTTACGTTTCTTTCTATTTCTTCCCATACTACCAGCGTCCCAACGTGCATCTAGCCTTAGGTAACTACTGTAATAAGTTATTCCCAAATAGAAACCCCAACGTTCCGTCGACCCCATTTCTCCTAATATGAGCCAAGTGTCATCAATCGCCATATACTTTCCCTTATCAAGTTGAGCACCGGTTTGTCCGGCTTGTCTTCCTACCCTTAATTAGATATGTCGTAGCGATTCTTTCTGTAGAATACAAATAAAGAAAATTCATCAGCGGATGAGACGACGTCGAAAAATGAAGAAAGCATGATCGTTTCGCAGTCTGTATCGTCCGTTATCCTTAGTCGTATACCTACTGAAAAACTGGCAAAAAAACGTTCTATTTTTATGGTGTGAAATCGATGGTACGGCCTCATACTGGGTGGGCCCGAATCTCAAGCAAAAACCAGTCCAAAAAACACCTTCAAAAATTTCCAGGGCCGAAGTCGAACCTAAATCCTGACTCAAAGGTATCCAGGGGCCCAGAATTGAGGACACGTCACAAAATTACTTCATCTATGGCTCAAAAAAAACTCCAAATAATCTTCGGTTTATTTCACTTAATCACGTCTGCATCCAGGTCTGACACGCAAAGAAAGAGAACAAAAAGAGCAAAAATTAGAACATAAAATAGCGGAAAATAGAGAACCAAAAAAGAGAGCCAAAAAACTCAAAATATACTAGAAGGCGAAAGAACACTTGGAAAATCGGGGTCCGACCTAAATGAGCTAATCGTCAAGCTGAGGGTGATGCCACGAAGTCTTTCAAGCTAGGGTAAAGGTCGAGGAGCAAAGACCCCCACCTACCTCCAGCTATCCTAGCAAATTGAGCTAGGGATCCGAGAGAGAGAAAGAGAGAGAGAGAGAGAGAGAGAGAGAGAGAGAGAAAGAGAAAGAAAGAGAGAGAAAGAGAGAGAGAGAGAGAGAGAGAGAGAGAGAGAGAGAGAGAGAGAGAGAGAGAAAGAGAGAGAGGCAGAGAGAGAGAGTGAGCTGAGAGAGAGATTTTGCGACATTCGAATATTACGAAAGGATATTTTGCGGCATTCGGATTTTGCGGCATTCGAATTTTGGGATATTCGGATTTTGCGACATTCAGATTTGAGAAGAAGAAAAGAAGAGGAAGATATGGCTTCTACAGGTAGGTTCCTCTTCCTCCTTCTCCAACTCCAGTCGTCCTTCTTCTTCTTTTTCTTCTTCTTCTTCCTCTTTTTATTTTTCTTCTTTTACTTCTTTTTCTTTTTCTTCTTCTTCTTCTTCTTCTTGCTTCTTCTTCCTCTTCTTCTTCTTCTTCTTCTTCTTCTTCTTCTTCTTCTTCTTCTTCTTCTTCTTTGCATCCTTAGCACGATTTGCCAGGGTGGTGGGCGGTCACAAGGGATCTTTGATCTCGCAAGTGTACCCTCACCTGAGGAGTTCTTACATCCAAAAGCACTAGTTGGGAACGTATGAGTATTATGAATGGACCAGGTTCGGATGGATGGTCTGCAATCTCGGGTCTTTTCTACATCAGCATCTGCTTCTTATTCCTGTACGATGTTTTTTCCTGATTCGGCATAAGTAATTTCCGGTTTTTCTTTTTTCTTTCCTTTTTTTTTTTTCTTTTCTTTTTTCTTTTTAGGCGCAATTTTTGGACCTCCTTTGGGCACCGACGGGCGCAGGCCCAGAAAAAATGGTTGGAAAATCGATACTTGTCTTTTTGGGCACCACGGATACTGAGTTGGGTTTTGGTAATTGTACCTGGCCGATAACATGGTTCAGATTCGAGCAACGTTCGGGTAAGTGCTGTACCACAAACACTGACCTAAACTGTTGGGATTTTGGTGACTGTGCATGCCCGATAACATGGTTCAAGATCGGGCAACGTTCAGGTAATTGCTCAGGAATTCTTTTTCAGCCGTTCGTTTTTTTGAGCTCCTCTCGGGTACTCCTCTGATGGATGTGGGGCTCAGTGACCAGTATGACAGTATCGCTCCGTGCTATTAGCGCCGATATATGTTGGACTTACGGTAGTCTTGTCTCTCTCTTTTTTCGTTACAAATTTTGTATTCACGAAGGATTGATGATGACGTGCGGTGTGCTTGCGCTTGCTCCATTCGAAGGTTTGAATGGGTGGATGGGGAGCAGGGACGCCCTCGTAGCGACTGTAGACCAAGTGAACAGACGACACGACGCATTGGAAAGGAGCGGGGTGAAGAGAAGGAAGGGGTGGGAAAGAGGGAAAAGTAGGAAGGAGATTTGAATCGCATACTGTGCGGAAAGAATTAAAGAGGAGTTGTGCTCCTACATGTGTTAGGGTGGTGGGTGGCCTCCTGAAGAGACTCGGACACGCACCGAGTCGAAACGCGTCGAGGATTATGCGTGGTTTTTTGGTATGGTGTTTGGTAAAAAGATTTTGCATCTTTGCCCTCCGTGGACTGTGTGTTTGCTATAACCTTAACTTCTAGGTAGACGTGACAACCAACGTTGCTTTCTAGCCGTGAGAGTGGTCACGTGGGTTATCTGATATCCTTAGATATCGAGGAACCCGGTATTTGGAAACGTGGGAGAAGTGGAAGGAGAGAGAGCAGGGTCGAGAATTGGTGGGGGGTTGTGGAAGTGAGATATGGTGCCGCATCTGGTTGCGAAGATACGTATTTTCTGGGATATGCGGGGACGGAGGAGGATGCGTCATGTTCTTTGTCAGATGGTCGACAACGTGATATTGCGGCTGACCGCTCCTCGTAGACACTCTGATGCTGGAAGGAGTACTCATGACTACATGAAGAGTAGCCGCCGGCTGCTTGAGACCTTGTACCGTGTCATCATCAAACCGATTGTTCGGAGGGCAAAATTTGGCTCTAGACTGTATAAAGAGACGGTGGTACTTTCACTCTCTAGACTTCTACTATTTTTCAAGCGAGTGTACGAGGTGATTGCTCGGGCGATACGATCTCATTGTATCTAGATTCGGAGAATATGCAGGGTGGGTTAGCAGGGATGGCGACAGGGATGGCAGCGCAGGGCGTGCCTGGTGGAGGCGCCCATATGGGCGCGCAAGGCGCTGTGGGATCCAGCATGTTCGGAGGCGGGTTCGGTGGACAGGGTGCTATGCCGCAGAACAACTTGCCAGCATCCCCGTATGGGGTTGTGACTTGTCACATTTGTGGAAAGGTTGGGCACTATGCGAGGAACTGCTGGCAAGCAGCGAATAGACAAAAGTCGGAGGAGGAAAATATTGAGGTAAGAGAATTGCTCCTACAGATTTCCAAGAGAGAAAAGGAGGAGGAGGATAGAAAGAAGAAAGAAGTGGAAGAGGCGAGGAAGAAGGAGGAGGACGAACGACGGGAGAGTGAGAAGCTACGAGAAGAACAGGCGAGAGAGGCGAAGTTGGAAGCGACGATTGTTCGCATCCTACAACAGCGAAAGGAATCAGGGACGCCACCTGTTCCTCTTATTGCACCAACTTCTCACGTAGCTTATGAGCCTAAGAAGCGATCACCACGCTCTAAGGCTCGTATGCTGGGTGATATTCGCAGTTATATTGCCGAATCAGAGGATGATAGTGAGGAGGTCAAAGAAGAAGCAGAAAAGTTAGTTGAGGCGCTAGAAAGGAGGAAGAACTCTAGGAAGGGCGCTAGTACTGTGCGAGCTGCGGTAAGTCGAGCCGGCAAGAAGGGAACACCTCGGAAGGAGAAAGCTCAGGTTCATGAGGATCTGGTGAAGGACGACGGCTTTGAGACTCCGAAGAAGATGTGTGTTGCAGAGTGCTCCGGTGATGGCATGATTGAATTCGCGCTGACATAGACCAAGGTGCTGAGTGGTATGAAAGCTAATGAAATAAGAAAGATATGCGATCGAGAAGGCGTTGACTACATCAAGAAGGAGGTAGCTATCCATGAGATTGTGAGGTGCCGGACTAGGCTTGCGTACGTGGGATTTTTTGAACTCAAGAGTGGGACACCATCGTCTCAGAAGGTGCAGGGCAGTGGCCTTGGAGCGCTGTGATGGCAGAGGGGATTACAACACATGCTGTTGCGATCCGGTTTCAAGAGCTCGTTAGTAGGAGGAGCCATAGGGAGGCTAATGGGGTACGGCCGTTAATGGTTAGGGAAGAAGAGAACGAACTTACACTTCTGGTCATGCTGCTTACCGTGAAAGGATATGTGCCTTGGATTAGGAAGCTGATGAGATTTGTTGACCCGTCAGATACTGATGTCAATCATGCTGGTGTATACGCAGTTGTTAGTCCCTGTTGTAGACGATTTTATATCGGATGTACCGTTAGAAAGATTATTACAAGATGGGCTGAACACGTTCGGTGCGCTTTGAATGGGAACGTCGGAAACGCACCAGAACTCCACACCTGGCTTAAATCTTTCGGGTGGCAGAGTTATGTGGTCTTACCTCTGGTCACTGGTGTGGAAGACGGGTTCGTAGTGGAGAGCACCCTTATCTCAAGGTTCCCACCTTCTCTTAATATGATTGGTCGCCAGCAAGTAAGGAGTAAGAAGCGCCAGAGTGGTGCGAAGCAGAGAGCGAGACCCGGGCAGAGACAGATTGGAGGTGTGATCACCTTCAGCATTCAAGGAAGAAAATGTGCTTCGCTGACTTCACTACTTGTACAACTCGAAGGGACGAAGCACCCGATCGAGGTGAAAATCGAGGCAGGTGGATACTAGATTGACTCGTGGAAGGCAGTCTGTGGGAAATACGGCGAGTCGTCGGTCATCATAGACCATCGGAAGACTAAGTTGAGATACGCTAAGTCTACCATTCAGAAAGGAGGGTGTCTTCGTATCGTGACGCTGGTAGTCACATCATCTGGGATCCAGAGGAACAAGCGGTTTCTCCTCGACCTGCTGGCTCAACCCTGGCATATCAGACTCTTACACCGGCTTTCTAGTAGGAAGATGGTAGCGTTATTTAGAATAGCCGGCCTGTTTTCGAATGGTAGGACAAAAAGTGAAATCCGTCGGAGGCTTGCTCGAACTATGAGGGACAAGTTCGGCGTCGATGTTAGAAAGAGGATTTTGGTTCGGGTTCCGTTTTCAACGCGACTCAACATGGGTGCAATTAGGGACCTGACGGCGAGGATCGTCTCATTATCTGTTAAAGATAATGTGATTCGATCGCTTGTGATTGAGAGAATGAGACAGGTTAGGCTGAAAGGTAGATCGGTGGGAAGCATTGTGCATAGTTATAGGGCGATGCTGGATGAGGGAAGGGATACTTGCACGTGTGCAGATTTCAGTCTAGAGAGATACCAGGGGCATGTCCAGATGAGACTCGATCATGTGACAAGTGTGCATCAATTTGTCCATAATGCGAAGAACGTGACTAGTGGCAGATCCGTGACGAGGAACCAGACAAGCGGTCCCGAAAGCGTGGAGGCACAATGCTCTCCAACTTACGGACCAAGATGTGACGCAGTGTTTTACGACCAAGGGTCTGTGTCACGCACACATGACTGAGCAGGAAGTAAGGATGGAAGTACATCAATTTCGGAAGATGGTGCTTGTGCCGCTTGACAGGAATCAGGGCGCAACTCTGATTATCTGCCCTGTTCTATATTTTCACGCGTTTCGCATGACCTTCTGCTGGAACCCTGGGTTCGCTCCAATGAACGAGAAGGAGGAGCACACTCTCGTAATAGTGAGGTTTGCATACAGAGCAGCCAGACTGGAATCTTTGGGCACGTGGCGCACCTGCGGAAGAATTGGGAGGGCATATGTTATTCTCAAGGACAAGGACTACGCGAGATGGCGACCGATCTCACCATCATGGTCGGAACCATCGTGAACAGTTAGCGCCAGACTGGGGAGGGCACTTCGATACATGCTTCTGTGCCTCCTTGCATCTTACCATTTCAGCATGAAATCCACTGATAAGCTGAAGTCGGCGATACTGAAGGCCGTCACGAAGGTGAAACAGGCCGGTGACACGGTGCTGGGGAGAAGCTATGATATAAAGGATATGTTCGCTAAGCTTCCCCATGATGACATCGTTGCGTCAGCACATTGGTTAATACGTATGCAAGAAGATAGGGGACTGGTCGGGGTGAAGGTGAGTGTGAGGGGAAAGTGCTGCAAGATGGCAAGGAACACAAGGAAGGAGGGAGGATATGTTACTCTCTCCTTTGACAATGTTCTCGACATGCTCACGTACGAGTTGTGCTATACGTACACGATCTGTGAGCATCGTGTGTATCGACAAGTGTTCAGGGTCCCTATGGGGAAGCATTCATCTCCAACTCTCGCTAATTTGCTCTGTGCAAAGGCGGAGTATACCTTTCTTCAGACCCTTGAAGCCGACCGACGATTGATAGTCGGGGTTCGGATGGTCGATGATGCATCCATTCTGTTGTCGTGTCGTGGCAATGACCCGGCTTCACTGCGTAGGGCCATGAAAATTGCGGATTTGTTTGTCTTGTGCTACCCGGAGACACTGAAATTAGTTAGGAAGGATGATGATAGCAATGCCTAGGATTTTCTGGGGAGCAGGGTAGTGGTAGAGCCCTCTCCGCCATCACTGCATATTTTTCCAAGGACGAAAAATCAGATGTCCATCTTGGAGTCGGGCACTCTGCATTTTCACTCCATGCAAGATTACCAGTCTTATTCAGCAAAGAAAGTGAAGAGAACGACCTTGACGGCCTCTATGCTCAAGCTATGGAGATCATCTACAGATGATGCGACGACATGTGCCTCCATCATAAGCCTTGTGAAAGAAACGCGCCTCCGGGACTACTCCCCGGAGGTCTTCTTCGCATCCTTGGCACGATTTGCCAGGGTGGTGGGCGGTCATAAGGGATCTTTGATCTCGCAAGTGTACCCTCACCTGAGGAGTTCTTACATCCAAAAACACTAGTTGGGAACGTATGGGTATTATGAATGGACCAGGTTCGGATGGATGGTCTGCAATCTCGGGTCTTTTCTACATCAGCATCTACTTCTTATGCCTGTACGATGTTTTTTCCTGATTCGGCATAAGTAATTTCCGGTTTTTCTTTTTTCTTTTCTTTTTTTCTTTTCTTTTTTCCTTTTAGGCGCAATTTTTGGACCTCCTTTGGGCACCGACGGGCGCAGGCCCAGAAAAAATGGCTGGAAAACCGATAATTGTCTTTTTTGGCACCACGGATACTCAGTTGGGTTTTGGTAACTGAACCTGGCCGATAACATGGTTCAGATTCGAGCAACGTTCGGGTAAGTGCTGTACCACAGACGCTGACCTAAACTGTTGGGATTTTGGTGACTGTGCATGCCCGATAACATGGTTCAGGATCGGGCAACGTTCGGGTAATTGCTCAGGAATTCTTTTTCAGTCGTTCGGTTTTTTGAGCTCCTCTCAGGTACTCCTCTGATGGATGTGGGGCTCAGTGACCAGTATGACAGTATCGCTCCGTGCTATTAGCGCTGATATATGTTGGACTTACGGTAGTCTTGTCTCTCTCTTTTTGCGTTACGAATTTTGTATTCACGAAGGATTGATGATGACGTGCGGTGTGCTTGCGCTTGCTCCGTTCGAAGGTTTGAATAGGTGGATGGGGAGCAGGGACGCCCTCGTAGCGACTGTAGACCAAGTGAACAGACGACACGACACATTAGAAAGGAGCGGGGTGTAGAGAAGGAAGGGGTGGGAAAGAGGGAAATGTAGGAAGGAGATTTGAATCGCATACTGTGCGGAAAGAATGAGAGAGGAGTTGTGCTCCTACATGTGTTAGGGTGGTGGGTGGCCTCCTGAAGAGACTCGGACACGCACCGAGTCGAAACGCATCGAGGATTATGCGTGTTTTTTTGGTACGGTGTTTGGTAAAAAGATTTTGCATCTTTGCCCTCCGTGGACTGTGTGTTTGCTATAACCTTAACTTTTTCTTTGTCTTCTTCTTCTTCGTCGTCTTCTTCCTCGTGTACTTCTTCTTCTTCATTTTTTTCTTCATTTTGGTTGATTTTTTATCTTCTTCTTCTTCTTCTTCTTCTTCTTCTTCTTCTTCTTCTTCTTCTTCTTCTTCTTCTTCGTCGTCGTTGTCGTCGTCGTCGTCGTCGTCGTCTTCTTCTTCGTCGTCGTCGTCTTCGTCGTCTTCGTCTTCGTCTTCTTCGTCTTCGTCTTCGTCTTCGTCTTCGTCTTCGTCTTCGTCTTCGTCTTCGTCTTCGTCTTCGTCTTCTTGGTCCTCTTCTTCTTCCTCTTCTTCTTCCTCTTCTTCTTCTTCTTCTTCTTCTTCTTCTTCTTCTTCTTCTTCTTCTTCTTCTTCTTTCTTTACTTCTTCTTGGTTGGGAGGGATTGTTGGGCGCCATGCGCCATAGCTACCTTGAGTGATATGAATGAGGAGGGAGAGAAATGCACCCCCGCCCCGACTGTACTTCTCCACAATTGATTGATTGATTGATTGATTGATTGATTGATTGATTGATTGATTGATTGATTGATCGCAATTGATTGATTGATTGATTGATTGGTTGGTTGGTTGGTTGATCGATTGATCGATCAATCAATCGCCAACCTCTCCCCCGTCTCCATCCCGATCGCGATCCGGACTCCGATCATTTGTGGAGTGGTCATGTAGCAACCCCCCCCCGATGATCCAGACTCTGATTTCGACGCCGACCTCGACAGTGATCTCGATGCGTTTGATGCAAAAACTGGCACCGGTCTGGATCTTTTTTTTTCTCTCTATCAATCAATCAATCCGTTTATCCAATCGATTGATTGATTGATTCAGAGAGAAAGAGAAAGAGTGAGAGACTGACTGAGAGATTGCGAGAGCGACAAAGAGATAGAGAAACCAATCTCTTTCTCTCTCTTTTTCAATCAAATTTGTTTATCCAATCGATTGATTGATTGATTGATTGATTGT